CTAAAATAGACTTGTCCAATCCTAGGTTTATCAATGTCTGAGTTCAACAGATATATAGAACGACTTACATATTAAAAAAATGCAATTGTTTTATGATCAATAAGCCGTTTATCTTTACTTTATATCAAAATCAATCTACAGTTTGACGAAAAAAAAAAAAAAATCAATCTACAGTTTATTGGACCAAAGTGTTTGGTATGATGCGTCTCGGGTCGGGCCTACTTAGAATCGGACTTTTCTCACTCGATTATTAACGACCCGACCCGGACGGATCCGGCCAACTGGGCATTTGAAGAAAAGAATAAGGAGAAACGACACCACCATCCACAGTGCCCACCACATTTCTCACCACTTCTCTCAAAATTTCTTCCTGCGTCAATGGCGACTCAAGGTCAGGTTCTCACATGCAAAGGTATATTATCTACTGTCGCTCCGTCTTTGAATGATTCGGGATAATATGTGTGTGTATTTTGATTACTGTCTCGATGCGTAATTGAAAACCTTATCTACAACGATGTGAGAGAATCTGATCTGTTTCGATTTAACGCTGATTCCGTAGCTGCGGTGGCTTACGAGCCGAACAAACCACTGGTCATCGAAGATGTTCAGGTGGCTCCGCCTCAGGCTGGTGAGGTTCGGATCAAGATCCTTTACACTGCTCTTTGTCACACCGACGCTTACACTTGGAGCGGCAAGGTTAACTCACCTACACATCTCTATTTGGGTTGATCTATCGAATTTTGTAGTGCTTGAGTCCGAATGTTTGATTGTTTCGTCTCGATGCAGGATCCTGAAGGTCTTTTCCCGTGTATTCTCGGTCATGAAGCTGCTGGGTATTGTTGATTATTATCAAATCCAGTTTTATTTGTTGGGATCTTCTTCTCAATGTTTGTTTTTTTTCTTTTGGGAATAGGATTGTTGAGAGTGTTGGTGAAGGAGTAAAAGATGTTCAACCTGGAGACCATGTTATTCCTTGTTATCAAGCTGAGTGTCGTGAATGCAAGTTCTGCAAATCGGGAAAGACTAACCTCTGTGGGAAAGTTCGATCTGCTACTGGTGTTGGGGTTATGATGAATGACCGTAAGAGCCGGTTTTCGGTTAATGGAAAACCGATCTATCACTTCATGGGTACTTCGACGTTTAGTCAGTATACTGTTGTTCATGATGTTAGTGTGGCGAAAATTGATCCTAAGGCTCCTTTGGATAAAGTGTGTCTTCTTGGATGTGGTGTTCCCACTGGTAAGAATCAAACTGCCAATCCTCCCTCACCTAGAATTCTCATCTCCTCTTTCATTGCAAGTTTTTGGTGATATTGAAATTTATTTTCCTAATAGTGTATCTTGTATCTGCGTCCTATTTTAGGCCTTGGAGCAGTTTGGAATACTGCAAAAGTAGAGCCAGGGTCAAATGTTGCAATTTTTGGACTTGGAACTGTGGGACTTGCTGTAAGCTACTGTCTCAAACTTCTGTATATCGTTTTTTTTTAAGAAACTTGTGGTGATATGTTTGAAACTGTTAATGGATAGGTTGCCGAGGGTGCGAAAACAGCTGGTGCTTCAAGGATCATTGGCATTGATATCGATAGCAACAAGTATGAAACTGGTAAAATCTTCTTATCCTTTTTTTTCACTGGCTTGGTTAAGAATCTTATGAGTTTATGTATATGATTTATACAATTCATTGGTTTATTTGGTTGAAATTTCAGCAAAGAAGTTTGGTGTTAATGAATTTGTGAACCCGAAGGAGCATAACAAGCCAATTCAGGAAGTGATCGTTGATCTCACTGATGGCGGTGTTGACTACAGCTTTGAATGCATTGGGAATGTCTCGGTGATGAGAGCCGCATTGGAGTGTTGTCACAAGGTAAATTCATTCATTTAAAAAACAGACCGAATCACACATTAAATCTATAGAGCTTTAAACAAGAAAGGTGCAAAATTCATTGCAGGGATGGGGAACTTCGGTTATAGTGGGAGTTGCAGCATCAGGACAAGAGATTGCAACCCGACCGTTCCAACTTGTGACTGGCCGTGTGTGGAAAGGAACAGCATTTGGTGGTTTCAAGAGTCGAACTCAAGTGCCTTGGCTTGTAGAGAAGTACATGAACAAGGTTAGAACAAAAAAAACTTAAAACTAAGACACGGTTCCTTGTTTTCCTCTATTTCAAACACTTGACTGTTGCGTGGAATCGAACGCGATGCAGGAGATCAAAGTGGATGAATACATAACACACAACTTGACCTTGGGAGAGATTAACGAAGCTTTTCATCTGTTGCACGGAGGTAGTTGCCTTCGTTGTGTCCTCAGTTGCGAATGATCAACTTCTCTCTGCTTTGATGTCTTCTGTGACTTTGTCTTATAATCAATTATGACAATTTCCTGAGCAACGGACTCAAATCGTGTGTTTCTCTCTTATGCTTCAATAAAATTTGATTAAAGACTGATATGCATCGTTAGTAACTAATAAGCAAACATGTACTGCTTTATTATAAAACCATTTCAGTAAATTGATTTTGCGATACTTGAATATATTCATGTAAAGTAAAAACTATTCGAAAAGATTATTTTACTGGAAAACGTACTCAAAACGTCCATGTGGAAAACTAATCTCGTACTATTTCTACCCAAAATGAATATTATACTCTTATCTCACCCTAATTATGAGTTCTCTCGCTTAATAACAAAATCTGATCATAAACTAAGTATACCGGTTAGTAAACCGAAATTGAAACCCAAGTGGTATTAAAACTTGACCAGACCTAGAAAAAAATTGTAAAAAAACCTGACAAAAAAAATAATTCTGGGTCTTCTTCCTCTTTCCTCTATCTCTCCCACTCTTTTTGTTTTCACTTTTCCGACGATCAATCAATGGAACATCCCCACAAACCTTGAATCCAGATTGACATAAGAATTTCTTGAATTAATCAAAGTAACTTTCTCTTTGCCCTCTGCAATTTTCAAAATCAAATTATAGCCTCAGTATACAAAGTTTCTTGAATCATAAGCAGAATCTGCAGATTTTGAACTTCGAATCACACAAACCGACTTTTGCGATTTACCAAAAGCACTAATTTGGTCGAATTGTGTATTTACATAGAAACGAATTGAAGGAGAAAATAATAATAAAATTTTCAGATTACATAGAAAAAATAAAAAAAAAACAGAGAGCTTTCTCCATTGTTGGTGTTGTTCTGCAAAGTTAATTGAAGGAGAAAGACAAAGGCTTTGGAGTAACTATGAACAAGGAGACGTTTAACAATGGCTCGACCAAGGTAAGAAACGCCACCAGTAAAACAAACCAATATGTTTCCGGCGTCGGAATCCAGATCCA